TTAACCACCCAACACAAACTCGATGATTTTTTTTCTTTTATTCTACAAGTTCTGTAAATTCAAACCAAAAAAACATTGTCGAATTTTGATGGGTGGTTGCCGAGTTATTTTCTCTCAAAGTTAGAAAATTTTCAAATATCTTCTAAAAAAAAATTTTGGGGTGCTCATGTCGATCATCGCGGTGTCGATAGCAATCCCCAAAATTTTTAATGATACGGGAAAGTTTACCAGTCATGTTTTGCATCTACTAAAAAGTTTAAAGTAATAATTTCTAAATATTATATTAAGAGAAGGTGATGTTAGCCTCCAACTGAAGTTGTAGAGACCATTATTAAAATTCTAATGGTACTAAAATCGCTAAAATTGGTCCATTGGATCACGAAATATAAGCATTTAAATCTTCGCGAATATGCAAAAACCTACTGTATCTACCATATAATCGCGAAGATAAAAATACATATATATCGCGATTTATTGAACCAATTTTAGCAATTTTGATGCCATTAGAATTGTAATAATGATCTCTAAAACTTTAATTATATGTATAAGGAAGATTTTCTTAGTAAAATAACTTACAAAATTACATTTTATGAAATATTTTGAACACGTATTTTTCGGATATTATACTAAATCCCTCTTGTTACTCTAATTAATGTTTTATAGGCGAGTATTCCAATTCTAATGACACAAAATCGCTAAAATTGGTTCAGTAGATAGCGAGATATACAGTAGGTTTTTGCTTATATTTCGTGATCAAATGAACTAATTTTAGCTATTTTAGTACTATTATAATCTTAATAATGGCCTCTACAACTTTAGTTAGAGGTTAAAATCACTTTCTCTTAATATAATATTTAGAAATTATTGCTTAAACTTTAATTTTTTGGTAGCTGCAAAAATCACGTGAATGGTAGGTGTCCGGAGACTTTCCCAAAATTTGTGAGTGAGCTACTATCATTCGAATCCGTCCATCACTAGTCACATCCTGCAAGTACAATAATTTTAATTAATTGCAATTATTTAGTCATTAATTGGTTTCAATTATTTTTTATAATAATTTTTAATTGATTGCATTGGAAGAAATTTAATTGCAATAATTTTTCGGCACTCTGGTTTTAAATTAAAACATCGAGTTAATTTCAAGCTCACGCTGTGTTTCTTTGATCGACCAAAAAAACGCTATTTGAGTATAACATATTAAATTAATACAGTATTAGATATAATAACTAAGTATATAACAACCTTTTCGATTTTCAATTCTAAAACTTTGATCCAGGTACACAAAGGCGGACACAGGTCATACGGATGATTATTGGAACCGGTTGTGATGTTTTAGAATTTAATCCGAGTGTCCCAGGATTTATGAAAACAGCCAAAATCTAAAATGACCTTTGAATGGTAAAAACAATGATCATAGCAATTATTTTTCCCTTTTTTTTAAATTGTCTTTACAAATTTTATTTTATCAATAAAATAATCGAAGAAAATAATTCTTTTAGTGATAGTTTTAATAACGATTTCAGTGAAGAAGATCGGTTTTCTGTAGAACCTGATCGAAAATATTTCTTACTAAGAATTTAACTGCTAAAGAAAGGATCAGTATTCGTAAAACTTTAAAACAACATATAAAATCCTGTATAAAATTTGATTTCATGAGAGCAATTCGTAAAATCCTGTAAAAAAAAACTTAATTTTGTAAGAGCGATGCCATAAAAATCTTTATTTTGTTAACCATAAGATAAATAAATTTCTATTGAATTTCAACTTGAGGGGTGACCAATTATGGACGTGACGAATAAGAATTAGTTATACAGTATAAAAAAGCCAATTCTTATTCATCACAAGGTAATTTGTCACTCCCTCCCCTCAACTTCAACGAAGGTCACACAATTAAATTAATTAAATTATTTACGACCATACTATACTCGTAATATATATATTATATGAGTATAGTATGCTAGTTTTATATACTCAAATGCGATTGTTGTAGTATACACTACTACTTTACTACACCATACACCACTACTATTCGTAATACCGTTAGTTCACATACTGCATTTTCACGAATTTCTGTATGATATAACAAATTTAAGAAATATTATGTTTATATTATGCATTAAGTAATAATAACCTCACTAAGGACCTTCTTTTCTAATTAAGGACATTTCTCATTATTTTCGCTCGAGATAAATTCATTTAAAGAATATGGGAATAGCGCTTTCTGTCTCAACAACTACAACAAATGAATACTAAGTATGTTCAAATGAATACTATGTTTTTCCTTTTACAGTTATCCGTAAAACCTCGTCCGTTTCAATTTGGGAACGGTGTGGGGTGTACACAGCCGCATGAGAATGGTGTGGCGTAACCACAGCACATAAAATATTTATCAAATTGGTCTCAAGGTTTTTGTCGTGAATTAGCTCAGACGTATAGAGTAACATGTCAGGTGAACTCAATATAGTGGTGGGTGGGAGGGAGTCTTCGATAGAGCCAGAAAGTTATATTCTCGGGCGACAGCAAAGAAAAGCACAACAACCAAAACTTTCCTTAAACCCCTTAAATGTTTACTCAAAAAACCTTAACAATTGGCTTAGCTTTGATTCTGGTCATGTGATGGAATCTACAGATCTCTCGCGATAATACGGTCGCTTATCAAATCTTGATCGGCACATTAATATGTATTATGATAAGCGCAAATAAAACTCAAGACCTCATCTAATTCTAATGAATCCCTTTCATTGCATGAGTTTTATCATGCCAACAATTTATTGTACGCCAGTTTCTTGATATTTATGGTTTTGGAGTTACTATCTCAAAGATGTCAACTATACAATGACCTTTTGATGGTTATAAATTTGATATTAGTCTTGCAATAAAGATTTGGGTGGGATTGCGATCAGGATTTGCTTTTGGAACTAATAAGTTTACTAAGCAACGTATGAATTCAGTTACACAAAAACAGCCTTCGCTTTTAGTAAGCTTGATGAATGGAATAAACGATAAATAAGTAATGGTGATGGTGCTGATGATGTTCAATAAAAATAACGAAAAATTGTCACCACCCATTTTCAGTTTCATTTTTATTCATAACACAAACACCAAGATTCACCATTTTCATCACTCAATCTATTTCCTCCAAACCTTTCAGCAAATTTTACATGCCATTCGAACGCTTCTATATCGTCTTTACTGGTTTCCATGTTTTTATTTTAACACACTCCATGATTGCTTCGTCTATCTAAATTGCCCCTTATAAACGCTGATTCCATTTCAATACCAGTTGTCTGGATCAGTTATCACTTCAGCACCGTTTACGTCATCTGATTTTTGACAAAGATCGAATGCTTTAATTATTCTTTCAACTTTATATGGACACTATGCACTAGCATCGATTCTATCTCTTCTTATAATTCTCAACATCATCCGCAAACGGGCTATCCAATACAATTTGCCGTACAAATATCGAATTTTTAATACAAAGGTAGGTTGTGCATGTTTATTGGGGTACTATGCATTTTTCATTCCAGCTAACCTTTCCGTTTATAACTTGTTGATAGATCATATAATCAAATCTACAGAACTTATTAGCCTTTTTTATATTATCTTTAACTCTTCGATGCTTTGTGCCCATCTTTTTCTACGTTAATTCTATCAGTATTTCTCATATCCGTATATTATTGAATGCCTTATGTTTATACTTTTCGACCCTTTTTCCATTTCAGTAACAATGTCTACGATCCGAACATATTAGCACTTACTCTACTTCGTATTGAGTAGATTTCTATCTTTAGTATCAATTTTCTTATATTATTTTCTTTAACTCACGTTCCTTTTATACTTTTAAATCCTTTATAGCTGACTTTACTATTCAAGTATCAATATCCATTAGCTCCATGAACCTCAGAAACTGCACAACCTTTATTCCAACGTCCGGGTTTGTCGCATTAGTTTTTTTGTCTTTATTCTTCCAGTTTACTTGACACTTTATTACTATGTTTCTTGTAGCTCTCTAATTTAATAGTAGGTCCTGAACTTGCTTTGTTTTTTTTGTTGACGAAATAATCAAATGATTCTAGAAGACATTAATGTGATTAGCCAATTTAGGTATTATTAGTAACCAATAAAATTATTTATTTGTTTTACTTGTGTCCATTAGTTTTAAGATTCTATTAAAGTTAGTTCTACAAATTTGACTTGATGTTAATTTATCAGTATCTTGTCTTAATTTATTGATTATCAATTCATCATAACAGTAAAAAATTTGAACAGAAAAATGAACAAAAGATAAAAAGAACGAAAACGGGTTTAAGATTTTCTATGATGAACCACTTAATTTTCATACCAAAGATAAATTTTTGTACAGCTCGAGCAAGAGACTATATACAACGCTTTAAATTTTGTAATACGGCAAATTTCTATTTTAGAAACAATATAAAAAATTTGTGTAATACTGTAGCGGTAGTACTTTTCAATAAAAAAAAATAAATAAACAATCAATAAAATCAAACTTCTACTATGCTTTTAGCTTCGGATAAAAATTAATGAATTTTATTAATTTTATAAAGTAAATAATCTGAATGACAAATTTTGAATATATAATTCGAAATTAGAATATTTAGTCAAAGTTAATTTAAAAAAAGGGTTACAAATACTATCGATTAAATATATTTTACTTAAAGCTAGGTTCAGTATATAAAAACAACTCTAAATTGACATGTAATCGTCTAAAAACTTTTTTCTATTAAACTATATGGTGAAAATAAGTTTATAAATCGAGTTACGGTATTTAAAATTAAGTATGTAATAAATAAGTTAATAAATTAATTTTACAATGCACAAAGTATTAAAAAAAAGAAAAAAATTTATGCATAAACACTCAATTTTAAATTAAAGATTAAATTAATTATTAAAAGAAAAAAAATGTCAACCAACTTCGAATGTTACCCCTAGCCCTATTTTTTTTAAAAAAAGAACAATTTTACCCGATATTTTTAAGATTATTTACATTTTTCTTTCCACTCTTCTGGTGGTGATAATTTTTTAATTTTATCCGGTGATACGACAAACTGTGAAACCAATCCTGATTGTACATGCCACTTTTAAATATAAATATATTACAGTATTATTAGATTCAAAAAAAAAAAATTATTATTATTAATGAAATTTTTTTGAAAATTTAAATATAATTAAAATTACCTCAATATGACAATGAAATCCCCATACTCCAGGATTATCTGCTACAAATCGGAAAACAGCCCATCTGATAAAACAAAATAAATTATCAAATTAATTTTATTTAATCCCTAATACAACTGAAGAAGTTAAGATTAACTTACCCTCCAGCAGGAACAGTTGAAGTATCACGTTGGATCGGATCATAGGTGTTTAATTTACTATAATTAAGAGTTGTGCCGTTTTTACCTATACCAAGTATCCAAAAAACGTGACCGTGCTAATAATATTTTATAACAGACAATGAATATTATAAGAATTTACTTAATAATTATTAAATATTTAAGTAAATGCATAACATTTTATGTCCTGAGCTAGCAATCACTATAGTATTTAGTCAAAGCTATTGAATGTAAATTACAGTTTTGATTTTATTACGAGATAAATCAAAAAAGTAACTTTTGTATAGCTTTGATAAACATTGAATGCCATCTTACTATGTTCAAGACAATAAATGGAATAAATTTTTTTCAAAATACATACCAAATGGAATGGATGTTCACCAGGGTCATTGTCTAATTAATTAAAAAAAAGTATAGATAATGTAATTAAAAAAAATAATAAAATAAAATAAATCATTTTTAATGAATAAATCTTACTTATTAAAATTATATCAACGACTTTAGCGGAGTTAATTAAGAAGACATTTTGATCAGGAGCAAATGTCTTTACATCATCATATATTTTTTTAAGCGTAGGATATTTTGTATCAATCACATAAGTAGAATTGTTTATATATCCTAATGTGACGTTTGATGCGTCTGGTTGGAAATTAATCGTTACATTTAATTTATAGTCACAATCTGGAATCTTTTGTTTTACATAAGGTTTTAAATCCGAAGCATCTAAATCTATACAAGTTTCAATATTATCTGACCAAGCAGTTGACGTTGGTACATCGTTAGTACAGCCATCATATTCAACAATAGCTTTTACAAGAGGATTAAGTGTATCTGACTGAGTGGCAAAACAAGCAGTTTCCATTTCTGCACGCATCCAATATGAATTCTTAGGTTTGTTAGCAGTCACAATAACCGAATAACGTTGTGCTATATTAATTGGGAGGCGGTGGATTGTATGACGCTTGGTCATCATCCCTTCTACTTCAATAACGTCCATAGGATGGCCATCAATTGAGAAAATGAAAGCAGAAAAGGCACTTAGTAGAAAATATATAAAATAAATTAATTAATAAATTATTATTATAATTAAATATTAAAAATTATTTTAAAAAAAAAACTTACCTTGCATTAATAATTCTAATTCTATATTTCTTTCCATAAACAAATTTGAATTTTGATAATGGAGCATTATTTACGCAATTGTAACCTTTGGGTGCCCACGAACAATTATAGGAATTCTTTCCATTAATCAAACCATTATCAGGTACTGGTTCATTTCCTTGACTTTCGGGTGTCAAGAATGTAGCTAACAAGGTTGTAGAATCGTTATGATACCAATCTTGGAGTATGACAATAATTTCTTCATCATATTCATTTTTATAAGGATCTTTCGGATCATGAATTACAAGGGCACCAATCATTCCTTCAATATATTGAGCTCTTGAATGTGAATGGCTATTTTTGACAATGATATTCTTTAAAATCACGTGTACATACTTAACAGTTTACATAAATAAAAATGAAATTAAAGAAAGTTTACTTACTACCAGTAAGTTCCGCTTTGATCCACTTTAAATTTGTAGGTGAACTTATCATGTGCTGGAATACTACATTGGGATTGTCCAGGAACACCATCAAACCAAGGAGTTCCGCGTTGGTAGATTCCATGAGAATGAATAGTTGTATCCTCATTTAATTTATTTTCAACATTGATAACTATGGTATCACCACAATTAGCCTCCATGAGAGGACCTGGAAATCCACCATTTATGAGATAGATTTGTCGTTTGAAACCATCAGGAGCAAAATCACCTTTACTAATGGTAAGATTATAAATTCTTTCAACTTCTTTTTCATCTTTACTTTCAAATCCTTTTATAACATTTCTTTCGATTCCTTTTTCAACCTTTTTTTTAAATTCACTTTTGTTTAATAAGGTAGGGGATGATATAGACGTGAACGGAAATAAGAAAAGTAATGAACACGTCAAAATAGAGACTAGTGTCAAAATTTTCTTTGACAACATTTTTGGACCAAGAAATTGGAAGAAAAAAATTAAAAGGATAAATAGATTATTGAAAGAAGAACAACCGTATTTAAAGTAAAATTATATATTGCAACCGAAAACTCCCGTTGTTTTACATATTAATACAGTTTATTACATCTTTGATATTAATTTATTGCAGGAGGAACCAATAGCAAAAATCAACTCCTATAAATGCTTTGATTCAACTTAAAAGTATAGAGCAATTCAATATACGTGTATAACAGCCAAAAAAAGGAGAACCCAAATAGCGTATGTACGTATATATTGTAACAAGAAATATTATTGACGGAAAAAAATTTTAGAATTACGTCTATACTTGTAAAATTTGATCAAAGGATTCCTTTAATTATCGTTATGTTACATTTTAATTAAAAATTTCCAAAAAAATAATAATAATAATGAAGTTTATGCAAAATACAATTTTCTTTTTGCACACATTATGAAATAAATTTTGTACACTGTCACTCAATTCACAGTGCACTCCAAATATGGGTCTGAAAGTTAAAACATCCTTAAAATTGATATGTTTGTAAATTGCTAATTTATTTGTTTAACAAAAAAGTTCAAATATGTAATCCTATTTCGGTTCAGCTAATTTTACTGACACTCATTCCGTAGACACAAAATTTCACTGACAATCAATTCACCGAGATGTATGTTTCACAGACAACCAATTCCTAGACAAGCTTATTTCGTAGACAACTTATTTCACCGACAGCTTATTTCACCAACATTATTACCATTAGAATTAGGGTTAGGGTTAGAGGAATTATGGGAAATTAACTTGTCGGTGAAATG